GAGATCCAAAAGCCCTCAAACCATGAACTTAGTTTAAAGTGGTCTCAACTGGTAGGGCCCCAGATCCCTGGCAGAAGCAAATGCATAACTTCTGTAGTATGCTGATTTCAGACAAAATAGACTTTTAGCCAGAATGTATTTTTAGACATAAAAAAGTCAATTCATACCGATAAAGGTTTCAATTTACCAGGAGGTTATACCAATATTAAGTTAAATGCATCTAGTATCAAGGCTTCAATGATATGTAAATTAACAGAAGTACAAGGAGAAATAGATTTATAATAGTGTGATTTCTCAGTGATTGATACAATAAGACAAAATTTAGTGAGGATATAGACTGTGTGAACAAATAATTGACGTAAACCTAATGGACACACATAGAACACTGCACCCAACAACTCCAGAATACATCTTTTAAAACTTCGTACTGTGTGAGGTAGCTCATTCCCGTAATCCCAGCACTTTGGAAGGCAGAGGCTAGAGAATTGCCTGAGCCCACAGGTTCAAGACCAGCCTGAGCAACATGGCGAGACCTTGGCTTTACAATAAATTAAAAAATTAACTGGGCGTGGTAGTGCACGCCTGTAGTTCCAGCTACTTGGAAGACTGAAGCGGGATTGCCTGAGCCCAGCAGGTCGAGGTTGCGGTGGCCGTTGAGCGTGCCACTGCACTCCAGCCTGGGTGACAGAGTGAGACTCTAATTCGATTAAATAAATAAATAAAACTTACTCAGAATATTTATTTATTTATTTATTTTTTGAATTGGAGTCTTACTCTGTCACCCAGACTGGAGTGCAGTGGCCGCTCCCGGCCACCACAGCCTCAACCTGCTGGGCTCTGGCAATCCTTCTGCCTCAGCCTTCCAAATAGCTGGAACTACAGGCACGTGCTACCATGCCCGGCTAATTTTTGATTTATTGTAGAGATGAGGTCTTGCCAAGTTGCCCAGGCGGGTCTCGAACTCGCAGGCTCAGGCAGTTCACTCACCTCAGCCTCCCAAAGCGTGGGATTATGGGCTGAGCCACCAAGCCCGGCCCAGAATATTTATTAAAGTTGACTATATACTACTTCCTAAAGCAAGTCTCCATATTTGAAAGGATTGAAATAACACAGAGAATGTTCTTTGATCATAATGCAGTTGAGGTTAGAATAAATAACATAAAGATAACTGGAAAATCCCATGTGTTTGGAAATTAAGAAACCCTTCTCAATCCATGTTTCAAAGAACAAATGGTAGTAGAAATTAGAAAATCTGTTGCATAATAATGAGTATATATGTATTTTGAGTCAGAATCTTACTTTATCACCCAGACTGGGGTACAGTGGCACATTCTCGAGTGCTATAGCCTCAACCTGCTGGGCTCAGATGATCTTTCCCCTTCAGCCTTCCAAGTATTGGAAACTACATGCACACCACCAAGCCTGGCTAAGTTTTTGATTTATTGTAGGTACATGGTCTTGCCAAGTTGTCCAGGCTTGTCTCAAATCCCTGAGCTCAGGCAATCCTCCTGCCTCAGCCTCCCAAAATGTTGGGATTACAGGCGTGAGCTACCATGCCTGGCCTGTTATCTGTTGCTACATAACAAATCATTCATTATGTAGTGGTTTAAAACAACAAAAATCATTTATTATCTCATAATTTTTGTGACTCAGGACTTCAGGAAGAGTTCTGTTTGGTCGTTTTGGCACGGGATCTCTCACAAGATTGTAGTCAGATGTCAGCTGTGGTTGAGGTCATAGAATGGCCCGGAGTAGTCATTTCAGGGATATCTTACCTTGTTGGCACATTGGTGTCCACTAGTGGGTCTTCACATTGGTCTCTACACTGAGTTATCTGTTCTCATGCTGTGGGAGGCCTGACAGAAGCTGCATTGCCTTTATGACTTAACCTCAGAAGTCACACGGTTGCTTCTCTTGTATTCTGTTGGTTACACAGATCAGTCTTGACATCACCGTGGATGGGGAGAGGATCACTGGTACCACCTTGAAGGCTGGCTTCCATACCAGACATACATTTCTAGAGAAGAGGGGGAGGGAACATTTTCCAGTTCAATTTATGAGGCAAATATAAATAGACAAGTCTTACTCATAAATACAGAGGGTGCTAAAAAAATGTATACATATTTTAAGAAAGGGAAAAAACTGTATTAAAATTAAAAGATGAATACAAGTTATGTTTTACTTCTCCAATTGTAAGGGGTGCTCAGGCACAGTGGCTCTCCCTATAATCCCAGCACTTTGGGAGGCCGAGGTGAGAGAATTGCCTGAGCCCATGGGTTCTAGATCAGCGTGGGCAACTTGGCGAGACCTCGTCTATACAATAAATCAAGAAAAATTAGCCGGGTGTGGTGGTACATGCCTGTAGTTTCAGCTACTTGGAAGGCTGAGGCGGAAGGATCGCCTAAGCCCGGCAAGTCGAGGCTGCAGTGGCCATGAGTATGCCATTAGTGACAGAGTGAGACTCTGACTCAAAAAATAAAAAAAATAAAAAAGAGGTGGTGCTCAAAGTGGTTACCATCTGCATCTAGACATTTCTGATTATGGAGAACTATTACGTAATATATAGATAACCTTTCTTAAACTGTGTATACATTTTTTTTGGCACCCTGATATAGATACTAATATTTTAAAAATTGCTTCAGGGTCCTCTCCTCTCGAGTTCTGAACTTGAACTTGTTTCTGGTGTAATTTCTTTTTTTTTACTGAAAACAATCCCTCTCCCCCACTGTACTTTTGGAGAAGCTGAACCTGACACTCCCAGTGCTCTGCCGGGCAGGAGTGGCTCCATGATTGCTGAGTGAGCATCTGAAACCTCTGGCTCGCAGATATGTCTAGAAACTCCTGGGCTTGTGTTCTGGCTAGGCACATAAAGCTTGGCTGGACACATCTCTCTGCCTGAGGAGAGCAGACAAGGCCACCCAAACTTCTTGTCTTTCTTCTAGGCAATTCAGCATATGGGGAATACAAGTGACCTAGGAAATTTACCTTGAAGACATCATAGAATGCTAGCCCTTCACGATCATATTTACATCAAAACCCTGTTTCCCTCCAGCCTGGGTAACATAGTGAGATCTCGTCTTGAGCTCAGGAGGTTGAGGCTGCAGTGAACCATGGTCATGCCACTGCATTTCAGTCTGGATGATGAGTGCAACCCCGATTCAAAAAACAAACAAACATAAAACCCTGTTTCCCTTACTGAGGAGCCATCCCTCTAGAAATGTAGCCCTTTTTGATGAGGTTTCCTAACACCCACCTGACACAGGGAAGATCATCTAAATATCTAGCCCTTTTGTGAGCTTCTTAGCTTGAAGTCGATATTCCCACTGGGGAGGGTCTTGACTGAAGTTTGCCTCTGTGCTTCCCCACTGAGCCTTCATTCTTCCTGTTTTCCTGATGTTCATGGCTATGGGTTTAGTCTCCCACTACCCCTTGGCTTTTCTCCTCCAACATTCTCTTGATCTTGTTGGTTTTCTTTGATGACTGATGGAGTGCAGAGAGCTGAGCCTATAGGAGATAAATAAACAAATTAATGACACTGGGAACGTGCTGGCTCTTGCTTGTTAATCTTGAACTGGAGGTAGGAGGCAGGTTGTTTCTTACCCACTGAAAAGTGTGAAACAGTTTCACTTTAAATTATGCCACTGGTGGTATAGAGCAACTTCTGGGAATAAATGAGCAACCTGGAGAATTTTGAACTTTTCTACTCTTGGTTTGGTTGGGGATTACGAGAGTCTGGAGCCTGAGGCTGAATGAGAACAAAAGGCACAACATGTTCATTTTCTTTTCTTTCTTTTTTTTTTTTTGAGTCAGATTCTCACTCTGTTGCCAGACTGGAGTACAGTGGCACGCTCACGGCCACCACAGCCTCTCCTGCTGGGCTCAGGTGATTCTTCCACCTCAGCCGTCCATGTAGCTGGAACTACAGGCGTGCACTACCATACCTGGCTTATTTTTTTATTTATTGTAGAGACAAGGTCTCACCAAGTTGCCCACATTGGTCTTTTTTTTTTTTGAGTTGGATTCTCACTCTGTCGCCCATGCAGTGGCCGCTCCCAGCCACTGCAGCCTCGACCTGCTGGGATCCAGCGATCCTTCCGCCTCAGCCTTCCGAGTAGCCGG